TCCTCGAAATACAACCACGATGGGGCCCAAAATTTCTGCTTGCTAAGTAAGACATTTGTTACGTGAATTTTACTACTTTTCTTTCCACCGTTGTTAAGTGAATCACTATGAGTCACTTGCCAAGCAGCTGAATTTTGATCACGCAACCGTAGAGATGCTGCAACTTTCCGTAAGCATGAAAAATGGCCATCAGGTCATTTTTTCTGGAGCTGTTGAAACTTTGAACGGTCACTAAATGAACTGTGACTACCTAGAACTATGCCGCCTTCTGTCCGATCTAAGTATAGTACATAAAATTATCTATTGCAATGTCCTACCTGTCAATGAATACTTCAGCTTCAAGCACAATACTTTTGTTTGCACACAATAGATACAAACTCAAGGTAAACCGCACAAAACTCGATTGCAGGAACTATGACTTCAGCCACAGAGTGGTCAATGTCTGGAATACTCTACCTGACTCTGTGGTTTCTTCCCCAAACCCCAAAAACTTTAACCTTGGACTGTCTACTATTGATCTCACCCCTTTCCTAAGAGGTCTGCAGGGGGCGTGCATAAGTGCACCAACGTGCCTACCGTCCCTGTCCTATTGTTTCTTTTTTATTTTTCTTATATGTATCCATTTCATGTATTCATAACCATGTTTATATTTATACCTATTATCCAATAATCTCTTGACAAGTAAATAAATAAATAAATAAAGACAGACAGACAGACTAGCCGTACGTGACTCTAATGTATCGAACACAATACTTCATGCCAAATCCCTTCTCTGTGTTTGAGAGGGCCTAAATTTAAACTCTAACCAGTTCCTTCCCTGTGCACATCTGTTTCAACACACACACACACACACTCCCCTACCCAAAACTATTAAAACGCGATCTGCTATTTCAGGTCCGTGGCCGCAAAACACAGCTCTTCCAAAATTTGGGAGTGGCACCAAACCCTGCTGTCGAATTTGCAAATTTTTAAGATGACAGCTACTGGAGTGATTTAGTGCTGAGGGAGTCATGCATGTCCATGACTTTGCTTTTAAAGAGATCTGTGTGCAGATTTAATTCATGTGCAGATTTAAAGTTCAGCCAGACCTGTTTCTTTTCTCTTCTTTTCTTTTCCACCTGGCCTTGCCTAGGTTTTTATGCCAAGCAATCAAAATCCAAAACGCGGTTTGCAGAGTAAGAAAAATTACCCAACTTTTAAGTTGCTGTGACACGTATATTTGTGTTAAATATCTGATTTATTGTTCCAGGGTGTATAAGTAAATGCATGCCCTCGGGAACAGCGTTCTAATGGTTTTCTGAAGTAAAGCATTGAACTGCAAAAAAGAAAAAATGCTATTTAATTACAGATTGTTTTCTATCTCGCTTGTTTTGTTTTGTTTTGTTTTTTGGTGTGGTGGTTCATTTTTTTGTGGTTGTTTATTGCATTTGACTTTAGCTATAGGCAAAAGTCAAAATCCAATCAAAAGAGAACATGAAACAGATGACATTGTTACCCAATATAAAATCAACACTGAATTTTGTAAAATTATTTGTAATTGTTATTTTTCTGGATCTAACAGCACATGACTGGCTCTTCTTTCAATTAGATGTTCTTTCAATTAGGTTTAGTCAAAGAGAAAGATGCATGAATTGAGCATATTCTATCCATCCATAAGTCCTATGAACAATTAATCTTTATCTTTTTTTAAAAAAAAAGCAATTTTGTCGAATGGAGGTTATCTTAAGGCCCAGAAGATAATTATAGGCAGTTAAATATAATTGGGGGGGGTGTGGACTAGATGACCTACAAGGTCTCTTCCAACCTTATTATTCTGTTAAATACTAATTGATCCCAGCCTTCTTGTCATTGAAATACACCTCAACTTTTAATTGCACAGAATTCCTTTCAGGGTCTCCAACTGTAACTTCAAGTAAATACTCCCTCTGCCAAATGTGTTGTACATTTTTTCAACACAAGCGAATCCTGTTGCTTTGCACCAAACTTCACCACTGCAGCAAAAAAAAAAGAAGTGGGATTGGCTCTTGATCCCAGCTGGATCTGAAACTGGATCCAGCAATTCCTGTCACCTTCTCTTCTATAATGGTATGTGGGGAAAACCTGGGGAGATGGATGTAAGAAATGCTGCCTCGGGAACAATCAGATAAGAGGCAACTTAGCCCACAGCTATATAAAGGACAGGGAGGTGGGAAGAAGAAAGAATCTACTGTAACATCGCAGGCTATAAAAGAGGCAGTGGGATATTTGTACTTTCAGACCTGCAAGATCCTCTTAAGATCACTTTCCAATGAAGTAGAATTAGCTCCTTTGGTTATGTTTGCTCTGCTCTTTTTCCTGCCTTCTTTTACCAAGAATAAAACTAAAAATAATAAAACCAGGATGAGACAATCAAAGCTCCACACACACACACACACGTTTTCCCTGTGGTTACATTCCTAAGGGACCAATGGCGGTTGTAGAAATGTTTGCAGACGGTGTGCCAAATTTTAATCATTTACAACACACATCCGCGTTGGCTCGACTTGAACAATGAGATGATGGCAGCTTCATGCATATATTTTGCATTTCCTAATGTCCGCAGTCGAATTATTTGACTCTGTATACATAAAACATCAGCTAGCAGCTAATTTGTGGTGCTGGTTTTCCTTCTGGAATGATGTTCTAAGATGGATTGGGCCCCACAGTTATCTTCTAACTGACCACCATTCCCAATCGAGCTCCCAAAAGCTAACAAACATCCAAGCAATGGGAGTCACCAACACTTCCAACAGAAGATCTTGGTCTTTCTGGCTGAAGATAAGAGCAACAGGAGCCTGTAGATGAGTGTCCTCAAAAAAAGTAATCCATTCTAGGTGTTTTTTTAGCTAGCCTAGCCCCTTTGTTGCTTCCACGTGCATCAACCACTTCCATCTCGTCTCAGAAGATCAGGCGTCAATGTCTCCCACTCCACGTGTATGAACCTTCTCATTAGGACTTCCGCTCACCCAATTCCATCCAAAACTAACGAGGCTGGTCCATCAGCAATTTGAAGAACACTAGGTGGAATTCATTGGGATTATCCTAACCATATGTTTCTTTCTTGCCCGGGGCAATTTTCTGGAGGCCAGTCTGCTCCGAGCCATATAAAAGAGACCAGATCTGAAGGTGTCCTTCAAGAGAACATCAGCTTCCTGGAAAGTCCTGCTGCTTGCCAACCACTGCGGTAAGTGTCTCCCTTTTGTTCTCCAAAGGATCTGGAAACATCTTTAGCAACCAAGAACCTTGTGGCAATGTTCCATCAAGCGGGGGGCTGAAAATGGTTGGGAAGAGTCGAGGTAGCAATCCTCACTGGTGTCTTCAGGGCAGTTTATGATATTTAGACAGAAAGGAATGAGGGATCAACCCAACCCAACCCTTCAAGATGCCGGAGAAAGCAATCTCTTAAAGATTGGAGAATTACAGGGTACAAAGAAAGGACTGGAACAGAGTGGAGACATGCAAGGGAGGTGAATTGTATTTGGTTGGAGCAGACATTCCCAGAGGTGGAGAGAGGAAAGATTGAAGAAAGATGGAGAGAAGATAACCAGGTTGTAGAAAAGTAGAATGAGGCAATCTTATCATGAAGAAATCTTCACACTCACCTCGAGGGAAACTTAAGGGGCTTCTGTTAATGTTGGGTGGCTACCTTGTTGGCATGATGGGAAGTAAAAAGTCATTGAAACTTCCCACCCTTCAGCCAAAAACTCACTAAAATGGAATTCATTTTAAGAACGGATGGTAGGAACTTCAGCCGTGGTTCCATAGGAGTTTCCCCAAAATATATTTAGCATACAATATTCATACCAGAGATTTAATCAGGCCCAGCAAACCGGTTTTCCATCCCTCATTTTAATCTTTCTTTTGGTTTTCTTCCGGGAATGTTAGCGGATTGTAAAAACCTCTCCCGGTGGCTGGAAATAATTCCTTAATCCGGGATAAAAGGTGTTTTGCAAACTCAGCTCTTCTGTCGCGATGTGGGGGCCCTTTGACCCAATAGGATTATTCCTGAGTCAATAAATTGTAGTCTTGTAAGTTGCTTCAGAGAAGAAGCACAACCAGAAGCACTAATTTTATTTTTATTGTAGAGTTCCATTAACAGAATTTTGCAAGAGGGAAAAGATTGCTCTGATCCTATCCTTTTACTCTCTGGTAAATTAGGGAGAGTCTGTTCCAAGATATGTTCCATACTCTCCCTCTTCCATGTTTGAGATACCCTTTACACACTGGTTGTCCAGTCTTCCTCTCTCCTTCCGGTCTCCCAAGGCCATTCTCACATACTGTTACAATCAACTTATGATCATACTATAAGCTGCAGTAACAATAACTATTTTTCCAGGAGCAAGTTTCATGGAATTCTAGGGGGGGGTTGGTATCTGTGTAGGATGAGGCTGTTAATTGAATTAGTTTTGTCTAATTTAATTAAAAGAAAGTGGGAGTGACATGAGAGCAGTCTTCCAAAAATTGAGGGGCTGCCATAAAGAAGACAAGGTCAGCTTATTTTCCAAAGCACCTGAAGGCAGGACAAGAAGCAACGGATGGAAACTAATCTAGGAGAGAAGCAACCTAAAACTAAGGAGAAATTTCCTGACAGTTAGAACAATTAATCAGTGGAACAGCTTCCCTCCAGGAGTTGTAAATGCTCCAACACTGGAGATTTTCAAGAAGAGATTGGCCATTTCGGGTTGCGCAGAGGGTTGGACTAGAAGACCTCCAAGGTCCCTTCCAACTCTGTTATTCTGTTCAGAATAACTTTGGACTGGGCCCCGTCCTCTCTCACTGATTCTCCAACTGAAGGAACAATGGTAGAGAAAGAATCCGTCTCCTGAAGAATTGTGGTTCAAGTCCTGTGCTTTTGAAGTTATGTCACCAGGTTGCACAAAAGGGATGGCAGAAGGATTGTTGGATAGCTAACCTTTTCCCAAAAAGAACTATTCTGAAATGTCTGGTTTTCCTTTTGCAGAACAAGCCATCTTCCATCCCCGATGTCTTACCAGTGCAAACAACCTTGCCTCCCTCCCCCCTGCCTGAAGGGTGCCACCGTCTGCGTGGGTCCTGGAACCACTGTCTGCATCTCCCCGTCGCAAAGCCAGGACATCGACGTCTGCGACTCTCCCACCGGGGCCATCTGCGCGTCCCAAGGCCAAAGCTCGGGCCAGTGCACCAAAATTTGCCACGAGGGTTGCGGACCCGTGGTATTGACTCCGGTGCAGACCCAAAGCTTCTCTCCCTGTGCCACCATCTCTGTGAGCCAGAACCAGGGGCAAAACAGCACCGTTTGCGTCCCCCAACCACAGGGCTGCCAGTGTGCGGCCTGCTGTGGATCTGTGGCCCCCATCCAGAGCCAAGGTGGCTGTGCCCCCGTCTGCGCTTCCCCTGTATGCCTCTCTCCTGTCGCAGCGCCGCTGGCCCCTGCCGTGGTGCTCTGCCAAGACCCCTGTTGCAATGTCTGTGCTGCCTCCAAGGGGGCCACCAAGTGTGCCACGAAATGCGCCGCACCTGAGCCCGTGGCTTGCATGGATCCCTGCAAGGGCGTGAAGTGTGTGAAAAGTTGTGATGACACGGTCTGTGCGAAGGGGTGCCAGTCGGCAAACCAGTGCAACGTGAAGAAATGCTGAACACGTACAGACACACCCCGACTTCAGTGCTGGGAGTGTGGGAAGCCAACCACGTTGAATTCCTTCTTCCGTGAAATTTTGGCCCGAGTTCCTTTCTTTTGACCCCATACAGAAGAAGGTTTTTTTTGTACACACTTTACAGCTTCTCTGCTCGCCACTTTTGCCGTATCCTGGGATTGCGATTTCTGCATCCAGGTCTTCTGAAGGACCCCCTTTGATTGTGGGGGAGGGGAGGGTCCTTTTTTAATTGCTAGTGGACGGACAGACTTCTCTCCTCTTCCTATCACTTCCTTGCTCATCCGGAGCAAATAAAAGCAGATGAAAGAATCTTTTTTGGTGCGTTCTGAAATTCTTCAAGGCACTGGCATGTATTTCAGTGTCCAAAAGGGAAGGAAGGAAAGA